GGGAAAAGATAACATTTAAGATGGGAGTATCGGTAAAAAGACAATTGCACTCACATGGTTTTCTACTTTCTGTTGTGTGTGACTAATAGGTGTAGATCAGAAAACTATAAAATTTTTCAGCTGAAAGGGACATCTACTACAGATCTCCCATTTAGAGGTGAGGGGGCAAAAGTCCAGAAAGAAGGGGGTCACTTATTCAGGCCTCTTCCATGCTGGGCTGATCTTTGGGCTCATTTCTTTCCGATAGCATGTGTGCCTACATCAGAATCATGGGGAAGCTGTGTTTACTGACACCTGTGTACACACCATACCCTGACATGCTATACCTCTGCTCTAAGATGTCTGGATGGCTCTGTGGAAAGAATGTGGCATTGCTGCAAAGCAACTTATAATGCTTTGGTGTTATGACTCTAGAGACATAAGTTCAAGAATCAGCCTTACTATCTGAACTGTCACTTTGATTTCTATAGCTGCAGACCCAGGGCACCTCACATGAATCAAACCAAACCAGAGGACAGGTATCTGGTTTGGTCTGACTCCAGTGAACAAATGCTGCACTCCCACCTGGTTCCTAGAATGCTATCTCAACATCAAATGACAGATTTTTCTCTTAATTCATTTGAGAAATTTAATAAACCTCACATTTCATATATAAAATCCTTTGGGAAAATAAACACAGCTGCAGCTTATCTCCTACCACAGACACTGAAAAAGCTATTTCTTCTTGTTCAAAGTGTATGCAACATAATTTTTCATGTGTTCACATGAGGGGGGGCTACTGCACAAATGGAACATGAAAGTGCTGGGCAGCTCTTTAGTCTTAGATTGCAGGTGATTTGCTATTGGAAATCATTTTCTAACCCTGAAATAAGCATGGACTGGAATTTCTTACCTGGAAGAAACCTAAGGGAACATCACTGTTCACTCGCTCATTTTAGAGATGTGCATAAATGAGAAATGATGTTACTTGTTCAAGGTCAAACAGGTGAAGTTGCCAGCCTGGGATTAAGAGCCAGGCCCTGGGACCCCTAAGTCAGTGCTGGCTCTCCACACCCTCTCTGGCCCAGTCCATGAGGAATCTCTCTCAGCTCTCTTCTCCACTTCTGGAAACTCACACAAACTGGGCTCCACACAGCTTGTTCTCAAGCATGATCAGAAACAGGAAGAAATAGCCAGGAAGAAGGCTGGATAGACAGGAGGGCAGGAAAGGAAGAAGTGACCAAATGAAGCCAGGTTCTTGCTGTGCTCTGGTTTATTGGTTCTGCCTATTGCTTGAAAGGTAGGATAGCTAAGGAAGTTGACCATAAAATAGTAAGAATTAGTAGAGTCTCCATGAGCTTTCTTACTTTTAGACCATGAAATGGCATGAGCTTATTCTATTACCTTTCTGTTCTCTACAATACTGCGTGACTCTGTACAGATGGGGGAGGTGCCAAGAAAGCCATGCCAAGAAAGTCTATTTAGATTTGGGGGTGGGTCATTCATTTTCTTCTTTCACTGTGCTTCTGTTTATACCAACTATAGTTGGTATAGACTATCTTTCCAATAAGAAAACTGCATACTGGAGTTCACTTTTGACATCAGACTGTGATGGAGCTTGATGTTATATATAGCTAGGTCTATGAAATCCCTGTATTAACCACTGCTCCATTTGATTAAGATTCATCTGGGAGATAAATAAGGACCTCGGAAATTCCTGATTCTGCCCCTAAGCTTTATGCCAATATGGTCCAAGAAATAGCTCCCTAGATGACTCAATTTAAAGTGACATCTAAGTTTTTATATATATCTATGTAAATGCTGAAGACGAGAGGGTCCATCGTGAATCCCTCTGGAGAAGAGAAGATTAGTCAACACATGTTTCTGTGGAGGACGACTTCACTCTGTCTGAGTCTGGTCTGAGGGATTTTATATTGGTTACACTTGCATATATTTTTCAAAATTTGAAAATTGAAAGAATATTTACTTTAAAAGAATTATTTTTGGCTAATACATTAGTCAGTTATGGAAAGAAGGCTGGACTAGGGGTGTGGGGACATGCTAAAACCTAGCTGTCTCATCTAACCCGAGGCTGTCTGTTTACCTATGTGTACAGTGAGGTGGTTGAATTAGATCATTTCTCTCATTCTATAATCCTTCTGAGTAAAAGGGAGGAAAGCTAATCTAAGTGAAATGCTGTACTGTAGTGGCTTAAGAAATATCACTTTCTACCACTGGGTGAATGGAAAGTGTCTCTCAGTTACCCTTGCTGTTTTGTTCAAGACTGCAGAAGCTTCCAGTATAAATTAGAAGACCGGCAGCAACCTTAAGAAGAATGCAGTGTTGAGTTCATTTTCCAGTCACCTCTCGGAGGCCCAAGCCTCCCAATGTACCAGGTTCAGCATGTTTAGAACTAGAATGGTTTAATGTCCTCTTATCACTATCAAAGTTGCTGATATCAACTCCATGCTTTGTTTCATTTTTTTAGCTACGTTTAAAAAATTTTAAATTAAACCTCACTGAATGAACAGAACAGCTAGGGCAACTTGTGCTTTTTTTTTAAGTAGGCTGAAATGAAAGGCTATTGTTTGAGGCCACCAGGTAATAAGATAACAATGGAAGGACCTCATAAAGCAATTAGCTCATATTTTAAGAATGCAGTGAATAATCATCATACACTTTTAAAGATCTTTGAAATTCCCATTTTAGGGAAATATTCTAATTTGGAAGACCCAGATATGAGAACTGTTTCATCTTTTCCCTGTACTTACTTAGGTTTTGCTCATGCCAGCATCCTGTCCGGCAGAGAGGGTGTGGCCCTGCTCACCCCTCTGGATGAGACAGCTTTCTCCTGGAAGCCTGGGGAGGGGCTGTGGGAGAAGCATAGCCAGGGTGTCTCTGGCAGGAGCTGAGTTCTGATTCCTGCAAGAGTTAAGGAAGCTGAGGGATGGTAGGCCAGGAGGACAAGCCAGCGCCTTGGGAAACTATAGAAAAATGAGGGTGTTGCTGTTTCAGACTCAACCAAGACTGAGTTTAAGTCAGAGAGACTTAGGACTCTGTCTGCTTTCTCTGCTCTTGGCCTCTCTTGCTCCCATTTCCTAGCCAGGGGTGACACTCTTAAGGGTCTCCCAATGGCCTTGATATTTGTTCCTAGGGCCATTTCTTAAGTTTGAGGCTCCAGCAGAGACAGGAGGATACTGTGTGGAATACAGGAGAGTCAAGATGTCAGCTGGTGAACAGCAATCACTGTGCATGCATGCTCTTAAAACTGCACTCCCGACCCGAAGTCTACGCTAGGATGGTCCAGCACTGTCCCCTGAGTACTGCTTATCTTGTCCCCTTCTGTATGATCATTCAAATTAAAGTGGAAGTGTCTTTTCACATATATTTATAAAACAGACATGGTCAAATGTTCTCATAGTTTTCTATACTTCTTAATGTCATATAATTTCATATTACAGCTTTCATCCATTTATTCTTTGTGGTCCTGGGGAATGAACTCGGGGCCTTGTGCATGCTAGGCAAGCACTCTTACTGAGCAACACCCAAAGCCACATATCACAGCTTTCACACTTGCTTGGTAATGCAGCATGATCATAGCAATGCCTGTACTTACTATTTCAGGGACAAATGTGAAATTAATGTGACTTTTAACATTAATTGAAAGCAAATTTGCTATGAATTTTTATTTGATCTTGAATTTAAAATGAAGCATGTATTCAGGCAGACTGCAAGATGAATCCCTGGATTTCAGTAAAAATAAGAGTTTAAAAAGACCTAATTAAAAGATAAGTAGATGGGGATTTCATCTCTTCAAATTAAAATCCCTTAGCTTGGATCCCTCATTAGCAGGACTTCATAAAAACAAGCTATAAACATTCTCAATAATTAAATATGAATATATGATCCATGATAAAACCTGGCCCTTAGGTCATATATGTTTAAATATACAAAATTAAATGCATACTTGAGTCCCTCTTGTTGTTTTATTAGCTCCATCTTCCAGTGAAATGCATTTGTGCAATTATCTTGTTACTATACTTCCACCATAGATCATATTAAAAAAAATACTTCTTCCCATAAAGTGTGAAATATTAATTGATAAGCCACAGGGAACTAACACTATAACATATCCTTACCAATTAATAATGCTGTTGGCTGGGTTTATGAGAACTGAATTATTCATCAGAATCTTTTATATAATGTCACTGAAAGCTAAGACTTATGAGACATTAGAGCCCCTATAGGAGAATGATTTACATAGAAATTTTACTTGTAAACCAAACAACCATCTCAGTTTACTCCCTGAACATTGCATACTCAGTACGGCAGTTTGCTCATAACCCCATCATTTCTGGACATGGAAGAATGTTCACGAACACCCCAAATGGTCTACAGCAAACTGCACCTCTGAAAGGTGAGAGAAATAAACTAATTTAGGAATCAGAAAATATAGATCTTAGTTCTACTTTTACCCCTGTAGTGGCCCTCCATATCCACAGGTTCCAAATCTATTGATTCAACTCATTGCAGATCAAAAATATTTGGGAAGAAATGCATCCGTACTGAACATGTACAGATTTTTCTTACTATTTCTTAAACATATAACATATCAGGTAGACTGTAACTGAAGGACTCTACTAGGTATTATAAGTGATCTAGAGATGACTTGAGGCATAAGAATCCAACTTCTGACTACAATGAGTGAAAATGAATTGCCTGTCTAAATAACAATAAATGCCTGTCTTGCAGGGCCTGGTGGCACACACCTCAAATTCCAGCACTCTGGGATGCTGAGGCAGGGGAACAAAAGCTCAAGCCCAGCCTGGGCAACTCAGTGAGAACCTGTTTCAAAACAATGACCTAGTCAGGCTGAAGATGTAGATCAGAATGAAGGCCCTGGCTTCAATCCCCAGTACTGGAAAGAACAACCAAACCCCCCAAACCCCCCAAAACCCCTCAAAAAACCCATAAAAACCCACTTATCTTCACAGGCACACAAGCATGTAGGTAGGCTGAAATACTATTATCAGTAGTCACTGAATTTTACTCACCAGGTCACACAAGTGCATGTAACATCTGACATATATTGGTTTCCATTCGACTGTGTGTGATGAACTTAGAAAGTAAAGTGAGCACTGGATTGCACCCTCCCCTACACGGCCATTCATATCACTAAACATCACATAATAATCACAGTTTATGATCTAGCTGCCCAGGGTTGCATGAGGGCCAAGGGCTGAGTGTTGGGTACATAAGGTATATGGGAGAATGACATCAGTGATAAATACCCATTTTATATCAAAGACTTGAGTACCGAAGGATTTTGGTATTTGCTAGGGATCTTGGAATCAATCCCAAAGACACCAAGGGAAGGCCAAAACTAGTACTCTGGCTATTAGGTACTTTACCTCTCTAAGGATAGGTTCTGTGGAATTCTAAAATGAGGGCTTGGATTAGTGGAGGGTTAAGATTTCTTCCATTTATAAAAGGTCATTTAGGTTGTTTAGAAAGTATGAAGATAACAGTTTGTCTAATTTGATGCTGGCTAGAAATAAAAACACAAAGAAAACATGATTTGCAATATTCAGATAAATAATATATAGTCTCTCCCAACCCCAGGTAACCTTTCGATCAGTTTTGGCAGATGAAATTTTGAACACTTAAGACACTTTCAGTTTGTGATTAGAACATATGTTCCAGAGGGGAAGGCCAACACAGAGGAGATAGGTACTTTCTCTCATCTCATGTAAACTGAACAACAGAATTGGTGCCAGGCACAACGCAAGAATTGCTAATCACTCCCACTTGGGATGTCTTTGAACTAAATTGGTCATTTAGGCAGTATTTTTTACACAGAACTCTGTATTTTGTGTTAAAAGTAGAATGAACTTAATTACAATTTTCTACATCAGAAGTCTTATAGCAGGATTTTATACAGCAATGTTCTCAAACACAACAGCTGTGGCTAAGGCCAAACACTCCATACTTCTTCTCTCTCCCTTCTATCTCCTCTCTAAACCGGAAAGGGTGGTGGTTATTTAGCATCTGGGTCATGGCCTGCTGATATCCTAAGTCGGTGGCTTTCGATCATGTTCAAGAATTCTGCCTTCTTTTTATTTCACTTTTACTTATGTAGGGAGAATGAGTTATGGAACTAAGTCTAGCTTTCACAGACCTCTTCTCCTTAGCAAGTTCTTTAGTTCCATTTTTGCTCCCAAGTGAGCAAGGTGGTTAGAAAGGGAGATGGTTCAAAGGTGACTGAAGTTGAGTGTTATATTCGTGGGTTTTCATACATTCCAAGTTTCACAATTGGAAAGAAAGGTCTTAGAAAATGCCAGGGAGTCCTGGAACCTTCCAGCCATGAGCACAGCCATGAGCTTGCTAAAGAACCAGAAGGTGCTGGGGTGGGGTTTGGGTGAGCGCATGCGCAGCGACAGCGGACATGAGCACTTTCCTCCTCTCCTTTACTTTGCTTTCCCCCTTGGACCAGGACAAGGCAAAGAAAATACATACCTGGCTGACAACGAGTTACAATTTCAAGAGAGGAAAAAACAAGAGGGGCTGGAAGAAGCAGAGAATGATCAAGGTAAAATGTTACTCTTGATCTTTTGGGGGAATATTACACTCGCACTGCAGTGCCCTTCCTGTCATGGTGCAATGTATGTCTGAGACCCTTCAAAGAGGAACTCTTGAGCCAAGAATTTAGCTCAGTGGTTTCGCCGCCTGCTGCACAAGCGCAAGGACCCGAGTTCTATCCCTGGTAACAAAAAAAACAAAACAAAGAAGAACTCTTAGTTTTAAAAATATCATTCATAGAAGGAAAACAGGTACTGGCAAAATGCTGCCCTGTCAAATACCCTGAATTCAAACAGAATTGGGTATTTTACATCCTAAACTCAGATACAAGGCTACAACTCACAAATCACGTATAAAGTTTTGAAAGTTTCAGTGTTCTCAATTGTTCAAACAAGTGTCATTTAATAAAATCTAATCCTAGTAAGTAATAGTGCTGGGCTTTACAACTCCTGCCACCTTGTGTAGGTTGAAGACAAACATGCTACGTGGTTATTTCTTTTAACAAAGTGCCAAATCATAACAGGATTACACTCCTCACACAATAATTAGTGTGACTATTAAACATTTAGTCACCCTTGCTACAATCATCTAAGGGCTTCCTAGATGAAACTGTATTCACAGAAACAAGGGCAAGCTGAGATGCACACAAGGCACCTAAGTTCTGAAGTCTCTGGAAAGCACTCATCACCATAACAAGGAGGCCAGAGGGTTCTGACCTGATTAAAAATAAGGACTCGTATAAGAAATGGCTTTATTAGAAAAACATGTAGTGTACATGTGGCTAATTTCTATCATCGGTATATCACTTGGCTATTTTGCAATTAAAATCTGATACAATATAGGGTTTGAACTTCCTTAGAAGTTAGTGGCATTTCTTCCTATTCTGTTGTGTGACTTCAGGAGGAGTTATCTTCATGTGACAAATGCCCTTTCTTTTCCTAATTACTGTGGCTCAGTAGTTTAGCACTGGCACAGAACACAGAGGGGATTACCTATGGTAGGTAGCGCTTCACATGTAAGACATCAGACTTCCAGCCCCTGGAATCAGGCACAGGTCCACCAATTGTAGAATTTTAAAATTCCCTATTACCACACAAGTAAGTCTTGCATTATTACTAGTAGTAATTAAATTAATGTGATAACCTGTAACCTAACAAAACCTCTGGATGAAGTTTCTTTCTTCTCCTTTTTGTTTTCTGTTAGATGTGCAACTCCAAGCAAATGTGCAGTGTGCAGTATTGATTTCCAGTCTCCTTTTAAACTCCTTCAAGTCTGTGGTATTACACTGAGACAACCACATCAAGATACAGTCTGTCATAGGATTCCCTGAAGCACAGAATGAGGAGGAGACTAAGCAAACATGACCCAGGAAGGCACCAGTTGAACCAAGACAACTCTGTAAGACAAAAATACAGTATGCAGTTTTAGGCATTCATGTAGCACTAGCAGAACACCACCTGTGTGCCCAGAGGAATCTGCTCCGCAGTCAAAAGCATTCACAATAAATGAGACGGCCAGGAAACTGGCTTTCAATAAACAGTGACAATATGGAGACTAAGTGATAGGTGTAATGTATTATATGGCTTTCACGTGGAATATTTTAAATCAATATTGTTAATGACATTTCATCAATTTAATCCACCTTGACTTCAGTTGCAAATTCAATCTATTACTTCAAAGAAAAAACTGATTGCCTTTAAGTGTTAAGTTTGTTAATTGTTTTTTAAGTGTCCTCTATCACCATCAGTCTTACTTTGTTTAGAAACACCTGATGGGTTAAAGGGACAAAGAGGAAAATCACCTGAATTTCAAGATAACTATATTTTTTTGGATAAAAATCTGTATTTTTCAGTAAAAATGTTCAGTAGTAATCACTGTAAAACAGAGAAAATACATGGAAAAATAAAGTAAAACATAAAAGAAACACCACCTCTAAAGAGACTACTGTATTTTGGATTATATCTTTCTAGTCTTTTTTTCTGCTAGCATGAATGGTTATGTATTATGACAGTTACTGGAAAACCTGTAGAAGTCATTTAAACAGGCCATTCTGTTATCTGATTTAGAGGTATCAAGAATCGGCTGCTTCAAAAATATTCTCTCAGGCGCTCTTTAACATGACAGTGCCGGCTACTTGCTGCAACATCACACTACTGGCCAGGAACCCTTGAGCTGAGCAGCTGCATCTGGTCAGCCTGCCTCTCCCCAAGCCCATCTGCCTGTCAATCCTAAAGCTTTGAAGCAAGTACTGTAGCTCCTTGAGGTTGGTGGTGGCTGGGGACAACTTCTGTAGCTTAACATCCACTTTATCAGTTCCTATGAGAATAAACAGGGAAACAAGTTTCTTTCTTTCTTTCTTTCTTTCTTTCTTTCTTTCTTTCTTTCTTTCTTTCTTTCTTTCTTTCTTTCTTTCTTTTTTTCTGGTCACTTCTATAGGTTTATTTTTCCCCTTTGTCTCTCGACAGAATGCTAATATTCTCTTAATCTTCAAAAATCAACCTAAAGATTTCTACACTGCTGCTTTAGTTTAATCCATAATTCATGCCGCTCCAAAGAGCAATTTATGCTCAGGAATAGAAATTAGAAATTGAATGGCAATGCCTTTTTTCCTACAGTATGCTCACACAACAGCTTCCTCACCTCTCAATTACTACATTTTAAAAGCCAGACATGTTATTCTACCGCATGAAACAAAGACGTATATCCAAACGACACTTTTATACAAAGCTCTTTTCTGTGATTTACTTGGATTGCATATAAATACTCTGAAAAGCTGTGACCTCTAGGGCCGTGTCCTTTCTCTGATATTCCCTGAGATGACACAATGGGCATGTTTTGCTCTTACATTCACCATATAACCTGGATTTCTGATGAATTTTACTAGAGAATATGAAGCAGTAAAAAAAAAGTGGTAAAACATAGACAAAAGCATGCTATTTGTATTAAAAGAGACTACTCTGGTGTTAAGGCTACATTTTAAGCAACAGATAAAAGAAAGTATGATACCTGACAACATGGTCTACAACAGTGACATTTAAAAAATCTTAGTGCCTGTAATTTGTAGAGCTAGAGCAACATACACGTAGCAATCATCAACTTGTCCTTACTCTCTTTAAACTGAGGAACTTGTCAAATATTGTCAAAGTAGACTATTTCATCATAGTTGTAAAATTCTTCCTTCTACCCAAGTTCAGATGAAATCACTAAAAATGCTAGATAATTGCTCTTCAGTGATAGTTTGTTGATTGGTTTTTACTGGGTTCCTCTCTCTGAAAATCAAATCCACCTTTCAGCAAATTCACTTGGCTCAATCAGCGGCAAGTGTTCTTTAAATTATTTGCCTTTTCAGAAAGCAGTAGGCCAGAGACGGGGGAACAGGTACTTTTTCCTTCTGAAAATCTCAAGTGCGCTAATAAGCAGGGAATGCTTGCTTAAACATTTAATTTGTGAAGCAGATGTACTTTCTGAACTCAATGTCATGACATGAGTGAACTAACAAAAATCTTGATCCACTGAAAGCAACATTCGTATTTTTACCCCTTTTACAGTTTTCTAGCATCCCTTCCCTTTGCTGCTCACTGGAGGAAATCGAAACCCATACTCAAAGGCAGGACTACCCAGTTTACCCCATACTTCTGCTGGTTCTCTATCATTAACTACACTTTGGTTGAGTCCTCTTTGCCAATCTGCAGTTAGACAAGTGCTATATTTTACTCAGTGAAGTGTGCTTTTTTGCACCAAGTGATGCTATGTTGGGACTGAGCCAATTGGGGCTTTGTTCATCCTTTTAAAAAGCTTTTCTTTCCAGAAGCATTGCTTTTGGTTTTGACTATCTAAAGTACTAGTCTGTTTCCAGCTACCACCTTCTAGAACCAACCTTCTACTTTCTTTTATAGTGATTTAACAAAATTGCCGGCATTCTCACTCAAGGTGAGCAGCCAGCTGATTCCACGACTCTCCAGTTTGATGCCCCGTAAGTATATATTAACCACTACACTGGATTATTTTACTTCTTAGACATAAAATTACTTCTCTCTAGTCTACATCTGTTGAACCTGCCCTTTGTTCTCCTGATAACCAACTAGTTTTACAAATACGCTCATATTAGGAAGCAAGGAGCTTTGTTACTTTGAAAGTGACCTTGAAAAATCCACATTAGAAAAATTCTAAGAAACTTTCAATATGGTTCCAGGTACTCAAAGTAGAAATGAAACAGGATGTGGCCCAGGGCTCCACATGAGCCGATGGCATTGGTACTGAAGCCTGAATAACACTTGTCCCCAGGGGACAAGTGGCCCTAATCTTCAAACAAATCACCAGCAGAGCCTGTTTTGTTGGGCAAGGCATTCTGATGTGGTCACTTTGGGGGCAGCTAGAAAGCCCTGAAGAATTATCTGATGGAGTCGCCTACTAGATAGCACACTGTGGGTGTTAGTACTTCCTTCAGAAGTGACCTAAAAACCACTTGTGATGGTGGTTAGAAATCAGGACTTCTTTCCTAGTTTGGTGGCACACTCCTGTCCAGTCCCAGCTACTTGGGAGGCTGATGTAGGAGGATCACTTAAGCTCAGAAGTTCCAGACCAGCCTGGGCAACACTGTGAGACTTATGTCTTAAAAGCAACAGCAAGGAGCCGGGTGTGATAGCGCACACCTGTAATGCCAGCACTCAGGAAGCTAAGATAGGAGGATTGCCATGAGTTCGAGGCCAACCTGTGCTACATAGTGAGTTCAAGCTCAGCCTGAACTTACAGTGAGACCATATTTCAACAAGCAAACAAACAAACAAAAACAACAGCAAAGAAACCTAGGGATTCTTCAAAAACCAAAAAAAGAAAAAAAAAACCCCAAAAACAAAACAAGCTTTCTAATCATCTAACAGTTGAATTTTCAGCTGTAATAGTGAGTTTTTAAAGTTTTAAAGTTATCCAAATTATGACATTTGAACACTGGCTGTAATGGAAGGAAATTCAATTTGTTACATAAAGTGTTCAGTGTCCTAGGCTGCAAAACTAGAAGCTGATTTTAGGAAACCATTTTACAGAATTTTCATATTTGCAATTTATGTATTATCATACAGTGGATAAAGAACTGAGTGTCTGCTGCAGGATGTTTAAGGCAGGATCAATCGATTGTGTGTGAAAAGAATTTCAAAACAGATTTCATAATTCTGGGAACCTTAGTCTTTGAGAGATGTAGAGTATGTTTGTGTGTATTCATATACACACTCACAAATACATGAAAACACTTCTTTGAAATCCAAGCTAGATCTTTAAATTTCTGACATCATTCAGTGACTATACTTATCTAGAAGAAAACCAAACAAACAAAACTTGGTGAGTGCCAGCTGTGCCTTCAAAATAGATGCTCTTTTCCTTTACCTTCTCATCAGCTATCTAAAATCCCAAATATACCGAGACTTTCCTCTCTGAAATCACCTTGGTGGACTGTAATTATTTCAAGCTCTATTTGGTCACAGTTGTCACAGCGTTTGGGCAGAAACGTTTTAACATCTATACAGATGTACATAAGAGCAAGTGATCAGAAACCAACCAAAATGAGGGCAACTTTCTTCTCCTAGTCAGATCAATCCTTGGCTGTATCAGGAAGATGGTAATTACCAGAAATGGCGCAAAGTTTCTTCTGCCACATATGCCAAAGAAACAAAAGTAACTGCATGCAGTATTTGGTCCCTGTGACTGCAAGATGAGGACTGGGCACTGAAGTCAGGTCCAGGTAAATCATGCCAGGATCTAATCTCTGTTGAACAAATCCCAAGTTGGAGCAGTCCTAGGAGACTGACATACTCTGCTGGCCTAGCAAAGGCTCAGGGTGCACTGAGCTCTTCTGTAGTAAGGCAGTGCTATGGTTTGAATATCAGGACAGTGAGTTCCCCAAAGGCTCATGTGTTGGAAGCTTGGCAATGTTAAGAGGGGGTGGGCCCTTTAAGAGGCGGGGCCTTGAGGGAGGCTGCTGGTCTTTCTCTGTCTGGTTTACTGTTTTGCCACATAATCTCTCCCTATCACATGTGCTCTCTGCCACTGTGATGTCTTGTGCCACACAGGGTCCTCACTAAAGTTGAGCTGCTGAAGGCACCATGTGGACAGAAGCCTTTTAATATCTAAAATTGAGCCAAAGGAACCTCTTTTCTTTATAAAGTATTCAGCTCTAGGTATTTTGTTACAGTAACAGAAAACCAATACAAATAGTTGCCCATGTATTCCCTGCCTTAAACCTGTCAATAAATGTGCTTTTTCTATAATAGAGCCCACAGCAAGATATTTGTTGGGGGATGACATTATCTGGCATCTCCTGGTGTTTTTAAATACTGAGGACAAAACTCCTTGTAGCTGGCAAGGAAAACCATGTTAGGCTGCACAGACCACTTAACAAATCTGCGGCTCTCAGCTGGAAAATTGTTTCTATCATGCTAGGGGGCATCACAGCATCTCTGAAGCTTTAGCAGGAAAAGGGAGGCCATAAGCCTCTTAATTTCCATTTTGACACAACTGAAGTGGATTAGAGCTGATCTGTAATAATTGTTGTACCAGTCTGTTTAGAAAACAAATTGAAAGCAAAGGTTCTACTCCAACATCCGTGCTTCTGGGAGGACTGCAAGAGTGGGTCTGCCTGCCTGAGTGTGTGCTCCTTCAAGGACAGGCTAGACTCACAGCAAGGCTGACACAGCCAAGACCTGCTTTACCTGTGTTACTTATTGATGGAGACAATCTAGTTTGTTGCTAGTTATATTAAGAAATTAGTCTATCATCTGGATGACACATTTTGTAGCTAAAAGAAAGTCCTATGCCTGAAGTTGTCCAAAATCCAAGGATGATTGTTTCATTGCTTTCAAAGTTTTGAAAATTTGTTTTCCAGTCAAGGAGGTTCACACAGTTATTATTTCAATCATAAGCCTGTCAGAAAGTTCCCTATAAACAATATGGCTTCTCAGAGTGTTACATTAGAGTACTTCCTACATTGCATAACCTTCTCTTATTCATCCCCATGGCTTTAAACTACATATACACCTCTGGCATTACTGACTTACTCTCTGTGTTAAGACAGAAGACTTGAAGTATTTTTAAAAATTTACATGAATATTAGAATCACTTGGCTAAGGAATGGGTTTGGCAGAGGCTTTTAAAAATGCAAATACTAGGTCCCAGCCCAGGTTAATTTGAAATCTTTGGGAGTGAGGATGCACATGCGCTAGAATACATTTCAAGAAAAACAATTGTGAATATTGTTTTTGTTGACGTGTGAACACTCAAAGTAATTTGCTTTAGTGAGAATTCTCCATATAAATTCCCTATACATCAATACCATAAATTTCTCTTATAACACATTTATATAGTAAAACAGAAATCAAATTTCTTACCTGTATGATAAAATGTGAGAAAAAATAAAAGTACTCCCATGAACATATTACTTAAAAAAGTGACAACTCCACAAGTAATTCCTTCTGGAACTGGGTAGACAGTTTCCACAAAAAGCTCAAAAAATATAGGTACACTGCTATTCAAGAACACTCCCAGGAGAATACAGGAGGCGTATAATGTCACTGAAATAAAAACACAAACATTTTAGTTACATGGCAGCAGCAATGAGTCACAGCAGACAGCTCTTCTGGGTGTTCTCTTTCCTAAGTACCAACTCTAGAATTTCATCTCTTTTCAGTGGTAGCTGGTAAAGTTTGACAAACATCATCCATCTGTCAGCTCTTTGTGCAGATTTTCTAGAGTATGAAAAGGTTTTGCTGTTGAATGATTACAAGTTTATTTTGCGTTACCTTTCTGGTGGATTATTCCAAAGCACAAAAACATTTTGCCACTACAATATAATTAAAAGGATTCTTCTCATTTGATCATGTGCTTGGCAAATGGGGGAGGTAAAATGCAGTAACTTACTTCAAAATTTAGATTCATTTTATGATTTTAAAGAGAATTTAAAACCTAAGAATAAACAAAAGAAATATTAAATGTTACTAAAAATTACATATTTAAGGAAATTGGTTCATAATACCTTGGAAGTATAAAATAAATATTATTCATTATGCAGGTCCTAGAGAAATACTTACAATAGAATCAGTTTTCAATTTTGGGATGAGTTTTGTGCCAACAGTTTCTTTTTAAATAAGGAAAATTTTCACCCAGAAAAATATAAGTGAGTAGTGGTATAATCCTAGATTAGTCCATTAAAAAGTGTAGGGATGTTATTTTTATTCTTATAAGAATGTTTAGGGAAATGTATTCCATTCTAAGTTTATCATCACTACTGTCTGCCTACAAACCTTCACTAATTTTAATTTGAAAGTGAAGAGAAGCAATGGAGGAGGGTGATACTTTATTCAGAAACATAAAATGTGTACCTAGGCCCTAATAAATATATTATACCCACTCATAATAATGAGTAGACTTCACTCTCAGATTAAGGTTACAAGGAAAATATTTTTTTTTCTTTTGGTGTTGGGGATCAAACCCAGGGCCTTGTGCATAGGCAAGCCACACCTGCAGCCCTTGGAGAATATTTTTAATAAAAACATTTACTAAGAAAACACTTCTGTTTTGGAATTGTGGAGAGTAAGGCAATTATATTAAATCTGTTATGTATTATTCATAGATTCACAGAATACATCAAATCTTTGGAATTTACCATAACTGACTACAGTCATTATATTCCTATTTATGACATTGTCAAAGGAGTAAAAAAGTAAGTGCCCACTGATTTCTAACAGCATTTCTCTAACCTCATTGCTGTGTACCCTCCAATTACACTGGCCTTCCAGAATTATAAAATATTTATTATAGTCTAATAATGCAAATAGTTGGTAATTACTTTGACTTCTTTTTATTTCATTGAATAGAAAATAGATATAAAAACAGAGAACAAAAAGAATGACTTAGCAAATAAAGAACAGACTGCTGTGATCAAATTACAGAATCACATGAAAGTGTCAGCTACAATAAAAACCATTCAAAACAACATAATTTCTCAAGAGGTTGCTTTTTTTTCCCTTTCAGCACTGGGGACTGAATCCAGGACCTTTACACTGAGTACTTCCCTAGTGTTCCTTTTTTTTTGAGACAGGGTCTCACTAAGTCACTAAGTTGCCCAGGCTGGGCTAGAATAGTGGTGGTGAACCTATAGCACATGTGTTGCAGGGGGCTGTTTGTATCATTGCAAGTGCTAAAAGGTTGCCATCACTGGGTTAGAGTTTTCAGTCCTCCTGCCTCAGCCTCCCACAGTGCTGGGATTATAGGCCTATGCCACCACAGGGTCAAGAGATTTTAAAAACAAAGCACAGAGCTGGGCATGGTGGCGCATGCCTGTAATCCCAGCACTCAGAGGCAAGAGGATCACCATGAATTTGAGGCCAGCCTGGACTACATAGTGAGACCATGTCTCAAACAACCAAAAAAAGAAAAATAATTAAAAAAATTAAAAACAAAAGTGCAACCCAACACTTCACACTAATATTTGCTAGCTGTTGATCATATAAGTCAATATATTCTTCTAACACATGACTCATTAGTGGTACCTTACAAAATCTAGAAATGGACAATTACTGATAGCTTATATTGAGTGTTCTATTTCTAAAATACTTTACAATAATTTATTGATCAGCCAGAGGTAATCAGGGTAGAGAGGACTATTGACTTAAACACAGATGAGCCTAGGAATTTAAAACAAGAAAAGTATTGAAATAAATAAATGAAAAGCCAAGCTCTTAAACCAACAAGAGCTACTTCTGAGTACACTCCCAAACTACTAATGGAATTAGCTGTTTTTAGAAAACATGGTTAGCAGTAATTCTTTCTATGTTTTTATTCCTGAAGCAACTATACTTCTACATGTAACTGTAAGCAAGAAAACTAAAATGTAATAACTGAAAACAATCTGTATACAATTGAATAATCTATATATAATTGTATGTGATAGAATAAAATATAATGATAAGGACATGCTAAAAGGAGCTATTAATAGGGTCTCGAAAGATTCAATTGTATTGTGTATTGATTTTAATTATGGTTGGTTAAAAAGCAGACATACAAGATAAACACTCTCATTTGAATAAGGCAAAGTACAAACAAAGCACTGTAAAGGATGGATAGAAGGAGACAAGAGGATAGATCTCTTGCATATGGGAAGAGATCAGGAGACTGAGGGCAAGGGGAGAGGAAGAGGGGAGGGGAAATAAGTAGAACAAAGATAAGCTATGTACAGGAACCTAATGATCTCAATGAATGTAAACATTACATGTCATAAACATGAGAGAAGATTAATAATATCAACAAGAACGAAAATGGAAAAAGGGGATTTAGAGGAGGAAGGAGGGAGGTGGGAGGGAAAGGGATTAAAAAATCAGGCTCTAGTATGTACCTGTTCCCACTCCCCAAGATGACTGTAAACTGCATGTACTGCAAACATGTACTAATTAAAAAAAAAAAAAAAAAGAAGAGGCCTGGGCTGGTGAGCCCTGGTGAGCCAGAGCAGTCTGAAAACCCTTTGGGTTGTGCAGCTACCTCAGCTCTCATTTCATGCTCATTAAGAATCTTCCAGGTTCAGGTTCCTTGGTATCTAACATTCTGTGACTTGGAGGGCCATAAATAATGGGCACTGGAAAGATAAAATTGTAAATAGGAAATGTAAATAGTTCATCTTCTGGTGGGTGATTTGGAAATGTCTATCAAAACAAATGCACATTATCTGACTCTCCGGTTCTATTTATAGGAATTATCCTACAGCTATGTGAGTACAGGTATTCAGGGAACACACACCCAAATACTGTTTGTAGCATGAAAAGATTAAAAACAATTTCCCAGGAACAGGAGTTAACTGATAAAAAAAATTCATAAAACATTCAAAGGTATGTTATACAACCACTAAAAATGAGAAAACTATATCAGCAGTAATGTAAAGTAAGTGAAAAAGATGCTAAAAAGTATGTTATATTTTCCAAGAAGGATACATACACTGTATAGTACTTGTAAATGTGAAGAATTATGTAGGAGAGTGCAGAAGAAATTGGCAATCAGGGTTATTTCTAGAGGGAAGTTTAGGGCCACAGGAGAATAAAATCTTGTCACTCTGTATTTTTTTTAACTATCTGAATGTGACTTTTTACTATGTGTCTTTCTTACCTATTTAACAAAGTAATAAGAGATATTTCAAAGTAAACTAATGCACTGACAACTCACCTGACTCTACTTCATGTAGAGTCACTTATTGATTCAGATTTATCACCAGTGAGTTGACCATAGAGTTGCTATCTATACCTGGTAGCCTTGAAAGCCAGGCTTGGTGCAGAAACCTTGGCATAAACATTCCTACTTCATTTATTAGAATTCTTATAATATCCAGGGTAAATGAGCTATTTTATATGGGATAATTAGGATATAATTAGGATAAATATACCTTCAGACTAATAAAGTATTGGCATGTTCAGTGGCAAATACCTGGAATCCCAATTATTTGGGAGGGTGTGGAGGGAGGATTAAAATTCGAAGGCAGCCTGGGCAATTTAGTGACATCCTGTCTCAAAATAAAAAATAAAAAAGGGCTGGCGATGTAGCTCAATGGTAGAGCACTTGCCCAAGATGGGTGAGGCCCTGCATTCTATCCTCAGTACAAAAAAAAAAAAATTCATTCAGCTGTCTCAATGTCAGTGTTTGCTTGTTCTATCACTATGTAAGTGATGAGTGAGAAAGTTTTTTGAAACACTGGATGGATATACTGGCATCACTTGTTACTGCAGAAACCAAAAAATCAAAATCATTTACACAGATAGGGGTTAAATGAAGATCTTCCTATCAGAATGAGAAGACAGCTGTGTCAGGACTGATTTAATACATTCCCCAGTGTGCTAAGCCACGAATAAAGTAGAAGCTGATTTTTACAAGTCTGAATTTGACTTCCATTTGAATTTTTAGTTTAGAGTCTGATATATCCAGTGGGTGAATGTCATCTATTGAAAGTCAGGCAGACAAGATAATTTCCTGCTCGTCAGAGAGGTTCAAGCTACATGATCATTAAATATTTCCATGACTTTCAGTAACAGTGATACTAAAATTAAAATAAACTGCCTTTCAATTAAGGAGTCAAGGTAATTTAGTAGAATAAATACAATGGAAATGCTGATGCACATTTTTTTTCAAAGAAGCCAATAAAATTGCATGGGTTCACAATTTAAATTGCAAAAAACAAAGTCCTGTGTAGCACAAAATAGTTACAATAGATATACTTCAAGTACATGAATTGGCTTATACCCCTGTAAGTACCTGATTCTATTACAAACCAAACTATTAAACTTTAGAGAAAGAAACTATATGAATACATTTTTGTTAACTATAACATCTTAGGTGATTGACAGTTATAAAACAAATGACAAAATTTCAGATAATATTAACTGTTCCACCTAACATCTAATGAATTATCCAAAATGTCAACAAAAACAACTTGATAATGTTGGATTTATATAATTTTAAAAAACATTTTCAAAACTGCTTTTACAAATATTATCATAGCCGAGGATTTAGCTCAGTGGTTCCAGCGCCTGCTGTG